TTTTTTTTTTTTTTTTTTTTTTTTTGGTAATATTTTGATGATTTTGGAAATAAATTACTCATCTTTTTTATGTAAATCTGTTAGGGGTTGGAGAGAGAGATGTGTTGTATGAGGAATTGTGGAAGGCCTGTGCAGGCCCTTTGGTGGATGCTCCAAGAGCTGGGGAAAGAGTGTATTATTTTCCACAGGGTCATATGGAACAAGTAAGAAGAATCTGTTTGAAATTCAAATTTTGCTTCATGTACAGGGCGAATGATTTTGTGTTGTGGGCTTGCTTTAGATCTTTGTTTGGATTCATGGGGCTTGAGTTGAAAAAAAGTTAATTAATTTCTATGGTTGAAAAATTCCATTTGATGTTTTCTGTCTGCCCTTTTTTATGGTTGGCCAGTTGGAAGCTTCGACAAATGAAGAACTAAATCAGAGGATACCATTATTCAATCTGTCCTCAAAGATCCTCTGCCGTGTTTTCAACACTCAGCTACTGGTTTACTCTCTCTCTCTCTCTCTCCCTCTTACTTTGTCTTTACGCTTGGTTGTTGTAAGTGCAGGTAGATTGGGTAGTTCTATGTTAATTTTCTCGATTATGTTGTAATTTAGTTGAATTAGTTGAAATTTGATTTCTCGTGTAGGCTGAACAAGACACTGATGAAGTGTATGCACAAATCACTTTGATGCCAGAAGCAGATGTAAGAATTCATTGAGTAATTCCTGCTTTTTACTTGATGTTAATTAATTCCCAGGTTGCAATCAAGCTGGCATTTTCTTTCTATTTACTTGAGGAAAAATTTTAAACTTTTACTGTAACATTATTTGTAGCAATCCGAGCCAAGAAGCCCGGATGAGTGCGCCGATGAGCCCGCTAGGCCCGTGGTTCACTTTTTTTGCAAGGTTTTGACAGCCTCTGACACAAGCACACATGGTGGATTCTCAGTCCTCCGAAAACACGCTAATGAATGCCTTCCTCCTTTGGTATGAACACTTTTTCTTCTTTCTTTGTTGATTTTCCAAATTTTTGTCATATATATGTATATATATTTTGCATTTGCCTGTTTTGACATCAAGGTCTTTGGTTGATCTAGGATATGACTCAGCCCACGCCGTCTCAAGAACTGGTTGCAAAGGATCTGCATGGGATCAAATGGCATTTTAAGCACATATTTAGAGGTAACTTTCGTTCTTCCCCTCGGTGCATTATCGGAAGGAAGGCGTTTGCTACGTAAATGCAACGCCTAAGAGATTAACTTTCAAAGTATACTTTAGTAAAAAATCTCTAGTGGTTCTTTTTTATTATCCATAAATAATAAATATGGTTGATCTCCGAGATGTGAGTTATGATATTAGTTGAGTGATAAATACGAGCCATTGATAAGTATTAGATGTAAAATGAGCAGGTCAGCCTCGGAGGCATTTACTCACAACAGGATGGAGCACATTTGTCACCTCTAAGAGATTAGTTGCTGGGGACAGTTTCGTATTTCTAAGGTATGATATTCATCAAAATCTTGTTCCCTTATATAAATCATCGAATGCTTTTTTTATTTTCCCTTTTTTTTTGTCTCTCTTTAAGAGGAGAGAATGAGGAATTACGAGTTGGTGTGAGGCGCCACGCCCTTCAACCGAGTATAATGCCAACATCTGTTATTTCGAGTCATAGCATGCACCTTGGGGTGCTTGCAACTGCTTCTCATGCTGTTTCGACTCAGACCCTTTTCGTTGTTTATTACAAACCGAGGTTTGATATA